TATTAAAGAAGAAGATTTTGTTGAAATGACATTACAGTTTAAGACCAAAAAATATCATAAAAAGAATAATAATTATTAATAAGTGAATTGAGTAATCTAATAATAATTATCAATAAATAATTTTTTTAAAAAAATTAAAATATGTGTCCTGGTCTCGGAAACTATTTTGTCCCGTCTTGAAATTTTATTTCTATTCCATCACGGTCCGGGACGAAATGATCAGAACGAAACAAGTTGAATAACACTACTTTCAACCCATACTAACCGTTGTATTTTATATATTACTGTTAAATGTAATTGGAAAAATCATAAAAAAAAAGACTGTTGAATTGAAAAAATTACACATAGGACCCGTTCACAAAAATTATTAACAAAACTCATATTATTATTGTCAAAATATACACTAATGTTATCACAAGTACCAGTTTGTAATTTTTCTATTTTGACAGTCTTTTTTTTTGCCATTTTGTCAATTTAATTTGCCTCTATGAAATTTGCATTAAGAAAAAATTTGCCTCTGTGAACTTAGCTGTATGTGCTTTGAATCTAAGGAGACGTTTGAAAGCACCCAAAAATGTTTCTTAAAAGTATTTTTTCTCAAAACGAGACAATCTCCTCTATATATTTATTTCATATACCGTAAAAATATTTTTAAAATTATGATTTAGTTTCTACCCAAATACCTGCTGAGTTAGATAAGCAATTGCTTTTTTCCTTTTAAATCCCCAATAGCGCATCCCATATATAATTGCATAAAGATATTGCTTTTTATTTTTTAACCCAAAAAAGTTGTTAAATTTTTCTAACAACTTTTTCAGAAGTTACGAGATTTATTTAAGAAATGAATTCATTCATAGTCTTCAACTTAATATTTTTTTAATGAGCACGATAGTGTGTTGGATGTCATCATTGCACCCCAAGGATTACAGGCATAAGGACGAGGTAACCAACGAGTACTAGTGTACTACTTTAGTAAAAGACTTTATTTATACATTTAGGCTTTAAATATTAAAATATGCGTATCTTGGAAACTCAGGCGTAGTCATTTATATTTTATTTACATTGTGGTCAAGCATTTATTTCTCTCTTTGAACTATATATGTTTTTTATTTTATACAATTAAATTAAATACATGCACATGTTAATATTATGTTTGACAATTCACACAAACTTAGTGTATAGCGCTGCCGCTAAGACAACTTATTGTTGACTTAAATCTGAGTTATTGAAGCACTCAACCTTTTTTTCCCTGTTCTTGTTGTTTAGTTTGTTTAAAAATTTTAAATATGGCCTAAGAGACTTCCACCACACATGTCTGTATTTCCTAGTCAAGAGGCATGAACTTAGCACATCCGTTTATAATACGCCCTAGCCAGTTCCATGGGGAATGGTGGAATTGATTTCAAGGCGATATGAAAGAATCAAATTATACAAGACTAGATTCTCATTCAATTTTCATTTTTCTAGTTTCCACTTCCATGTAACAAACATAGCATTACTAATTCATCGATCAAGCTGCACAAACTTGATATTTACTTTTCTGTAGATATAATTTTTAATCTTTAAAATTTATATTTATTTATGTTTTAATTCCTTAAGTTTCAAAGTATAGATTTTAGTCTCTCAAGTTTCTTTCCATTTAGAACATTAGTCCCTACAATTTAATAAAAATCTAAATCGTTTTTTCTTTTTAGGGGCAAAAAATTATGATTTAAAATTTGAGGGACCAAAACTAAAATGAGAACAAACCAAAAATTATATTAATCATTTTCTTAATTTATAACCTTTTTGGCAAAATTCTAAATTTATAATAGATTATGGTTTGAACAAAGCTCCTCAGATGCAAATGAGTTTCAAGACAATTTTGAAAAATTTTTCAGTAAAAATACTTTAGCAAATTAACTTTATGGATTAAAAATCCATATTAATTTATCAGCGTGAACGGTATTTTAAAAACTACTACCTTCGATCTTTAATATAAAAACAAGTCCACTAATTTGAGTAGATTAAAAAAAACAGGTAAGTTAATTATTTGTAATAAATAATATTGTATTTTCTAAAATATTTTTACTAATAAAATATATTGGCTATAACTATCATTATTAGAAAAACTGTCTTAAAAACAGATAAATATGAGGGATAAAATAAATTAAAATATTATATTTAAAACTAAAATAAAAATTAAATAAGTTTTTATATTAAGCGTCGGATAATATTTTTATGACTACGCGTCACTGATTCGCCACGCTCGCCCTTTCGTCCCAAAACGTCATTTCCCCTCGTTCTTCCATTGCTCCCTGTTCTTTTCCTATTTCCGCCCTTTTTTTTGACCAGCGCCTTTGCCTTCCTTTCAACCTCGCAAGACTTTTATTAAAAAAGAAAGCTTTACTTTCCTGGTCGCGTAGCTACTTTCTCTGAGCCTTCATCAGTGCAGGCATTTCGGGAGAAAATTCTGAAGGGGTGAGATTTAGAAGCAGCCAAAGCCTCTCATGTCTCTTTCTTCTTCCTCCGAGCACTGTGGTAAATAAGTTAACCTCTGATCATTTTTATTGATATTTCTTTTTTCTCTTCTACTTGATTATGGTTGAGGAAGTATTCATCGAGATAATTCAAGAAAAATTAATAAATATGAGAAATAGGTCTTATATTTAAGACTAAAATTAATCCAACAATTAGATCCTATATTAAAGAACAGAAGAGTATTTAAAACAGTATTTGTAATGCCCTGCACATTTTTCCATGCAACTATCACCCAACTTGCATTTGAAGAAGCCCAGGGGTGCAAAAACAGGACTTGGATTCTCTCCACTACCTTCCCATCCTCTTCCCCTCCACTACCCTTCTTTTTTTATTGGATCAAAATTCCAATGGTCCAGATTTAACATCTTATAAAAATAATGTTATTAAAAAAATAGATAAATAAATTTAAACTGTTAAAATCTGGTTTGAACAATTTACAATTGTAATAAAAAAAATTAAAAAAATTGCTCTATAATAACAGTTTGTAGTTGTGAATTGTTCAGATTAGATTTTAACAGTTTAAATTTATTTATCTATTTTTTATCATAATATTTATTTTTATAAAATGTTATAAAACATTAAATCTGGACCATTGGAGTTTTGATCCAATGGTTGTGAAAAGAAAAGGAGGGTAATAGAGGTGAAGAGGATGGGAAGGTAGTGGAGAGAATCCAATTTCGCAAAAACATACTGGTTTCTTACAATACACCGTATATAGATATCTTATTTTTATTTTTTAATATAAGATATTTTAAATATTACTTATATTGAGTTATTTTTATATTTAAATATGCATATTATTGAAAATTTTATTTAAATTATATTTTATAAATCATGACTGATTTAATCTTGAGTTGATCCCGATCTAATCTATTAACCCTTAATTTATTATCTTAACCAGTTTAATGATCAGTTTGGTCTTTTGAACCCTGGTTATGAAATTTAATTAAAAAATTAATTAATTCATAGTGTTAAATGCATTCATAGTCTTCAACTTAATATTTTTTTTAATGGGCACTACAGTGTATTGGATGTCCCTTTTTTTTCTTTTTCTTTTTCCTTTTTTACCAGAATAGTGTATTGGATGTCTGCATTGCACCACAAGGACAATAGGCATAAAGACGAGACAACCAAGGAGTACGACTTTATTAAGAGAAATTATTAAATTAAAGTATTATTTTAAAATATGTGAACTTCAGGTTGTAAAGTTATGCTCTGTTAAATTTAATTTTTCAAGAAAATTAATCAGACTTTAATATTGAAAACAAGGCACCGTGTCTTGGAAACTCAGGCGTAGTCATTTATATTTTACTTCCATTGTGGTCAAGCATTTCTTTCCCTCTTTGAACTATATATGTTTTTTATTTTATACAATTAAATTAATACATGCACAGGTTAACATTATGTTTGAGAATTCATCCAAACACAGTAGATACAACTTCTTGTTGACTTAAACCTGAGTTATTGAAGCACCCAACCCTATTTTTCCTTTTTTTTTAGTTTGTTTAAAAAATTTTAAAATATGGCTTAAGAGACTTTTACCACACATGTATATATTCATGTCTGTATTCCCTACTGAAGAGGCATGAACTTAGCACATCCGTTTATAATACGCTCTGGCCAGTTCCATGGGAAATGGTGGAATTGATTTCAAGGGGATATGAAAGAATTAGATTATATGAAGGAATAGATCCAGGGACACCAAAGGCAAATAGGCCCCAAAAGATGGATTCTAATTCATTTTTCATTTTTCTAGTTGCCACTCCCATGTACCAAACACAGCATTACTAATTCATCGACGAAGCTGCGCAAACTTGATGTTTACTTTTGTGTAAATATAATTTTTAATCCTTTAAATTTGTTTTTATATAGGTTTTAATCCTTTAAGTTTTAAAGTATAGGTTTTGGTTTATTAAGTTTCTTTCCATTTAAAATATTAGCCTCTATAATTTAATAAAAAGATAAATCATTTTTTCTTTTTAGGGACAAAAAAGTATGATTTAAAATTTGAAGGACTAAAATAAAAATAAAAATAAACCAAATATTATATTAACTTTTTCCTTAATTTATAACCTTTTTGGCAAAATTTTAAATTTATAATAGATTATAGAAGGGTTTGAAACTAAGCTCCTAAAATATAAATGAATTTTAAGAAAAATTTGAAAAATTTCAGTAAAAATATTTAAGCAAATTGGCTTTCTGGATTAAAAATCGTTATTGTTTTATTAGTGTGATAGGCATTTTAAAAACTACTCTTATCATTACGCGTCTCTGATGCGCCACGCGCACCCTTTCGTCCCAAAACGTCATTTCCCCTCGTCCTTCCATCGCCTACTGGCCTTTTGCTATTTCCTTCCCTTCATTGCCAGTGCACTTGTCTCCTTTTTCAACCTCGCAAGACTTTATTAAAAAGAAGAGGCTTTACTTTCCAGGCCGCGTAGCTACTTTCTCTAAGCCTTCATCATTTCAGACATATCTGGAGAAAATTCTGAAGGGGTGAGATTTAGAAGCAGCCAAAGCCTCTCATATCTCTTTCTTCTTCCTCCGATCACTCTGGTAAATAAGTTAATCCCTCGTCCTTCCCACCTCTTCGCTCTAATCTCTTGCTTTCGTCTTTATGTTTGATTTGCATCATTTGTTCTTCTGTCTTTTTTAGGTTATGCTGTTTTAATTTCAACGCACGCATTTCTTTCGGGAAAAAGAGAAAAGATGCATATAACCAATTATTCTGAGAATTGATCGAGGAATTGCTGATTTCTCTATGACATTAGTTTTTTCTTTTCCGGTAAGATGTGAATTTAAGTGCCCTAGTTTTTATTTTAAAGCCAAGATTCAAAAGTTTTTTTAATATAAATTTACTTATAAAATTTAAGATAGTACTCCTCCGGTTCTAATTATAAGACCCAATTGACTTATTTGAAGAGATTAAGGAAGTAAGTTAAGTTGGTTATTTATAACAAATAAGTGTTGTCATTCTTAAAATATCTTTGCTAATTAAGTATATTGGCTAAAACTATCATTATTAGAAGGATTATCTTGGAAAAAAAATGCATAAATATAAGAGACAAAATGGATTGGGGTCTTATAATTAGGACCAAATAAAAAGTCAAATGGGGTCTTATAATAAGGACCGGAGGAGTATCAATTTTGTTTTTATTATTAAAAAATTAATATTTATTATTAAAATAGTGGCATTGATTATTAATATTTTTATTATAAAAATTAATATTGTTAAGATTTTAAATTTTTAGAATAAATTTATAATAAAAAATTTTCAGCCCTAGGCCAAAGTGTTGGAGACAAATTTACATTTTAACTATTTTTTTTAACAAGACAAAAGAGTGACGTCCTCTTTTCCATTTTTTAAATTAAGTAAAAGAACATAAAATAAAATTGAAAATAATTGATTCTTGCAGGCGTAAAGATAAAAAATGGACCGTACGGATCGACTAGCTGTGAAGGGTAAACGCCATAACCTCCATGCCGCTTGAGCAGCTGGCGAAGCGGCTTGAGCAGCTGCCGCAGCTGCTCAACCTGCAGCAGTGGCAGCGACAGTACCTACAGCAGTGGCAGTGGCCGCGGCAGCAGCAGCAAAGGTAATGTTTTCATTTTCCCTCCAATAAATAAATTAATAAGATTAGAGTCTATTTTTAGTTTTTTTAATTTTAAATAAGATTTCAATTTGATTATTTAATTTTAAAAAGTATATTTTTAATTTTTTAAACTTAAAATTATTAACAAAAAGTGATGATATTGATATTTTGAAGATTGGTAAAACATTCTTAAACACTAAGAGCCTGTCTAGTTAAGTGGTAGGATCTTAAATAAGTCCGTTTAAATTCAAATAAGTGATTATGAAATATGTTTGTCTTGATTGAGTAATTTTTATAAAATCACGATTTAAAATCTCAATAAATCGTAATTTTATCCTTCTACCGTATTTTTAGGATAAGCAACAAGGAGTAACTTATGCATTTGAAAAATTCTGATCAATCTTCAGCAACTAAATTTTCTCTAATCTATCTTCCCACACTCATCCAAAAATCTCTCCTGAAATCTTAACTTCATACCCTTTTCAGTAATTATACATCCATAAACAATTTTAATAAATAAAAACTAAATATAATCACAATTCTTAGAATCACTTATTAAAAAGAATCCAAGCAGAAATCAAGATTAACCAATATCACTTATAAAATTTACAGTTATCTAAAATTATAGTTTTTCACCGCTAATACAAACAGGCACTAACATATTAAGTTTAATTTTCAAAGTAATCATGAGTTACAAAAACTCATCATTTAAAATTAACAGTTTTATGATTAAAAAAACTAAAAATATATTTTTTAAAGATGGATGATGAAATGTATACTTTAGTTTATTAATAAACATTTACACCTAAAATGTTGTCATTATTCTTTTAATTTTATTTGCAAAAACGATACTTTTTTAAAGAAAAAACTATTCCAAGATTCAACTTTAGTAGTTTATTATTTTTAAAAACCTTAATGATAAATAATTACACTTATTTAATTCATTCTATTTAAATGATAAATATTGATCAAGTTATTAATTTACGCTTCTTTTTGGTTTGCCAACGACCTATAAATTTACGTTATCTTAAGTCTTAACATGAATTTGATAAATAAATTTATGCAAACAGTGATGTGGGAATTAGTGAAAATAATTAATTTTTGAATTTAATTTAGGAATGTTATGAATATTATAACATGTGGATGTCCATTTCCCTTTCTTCCTCTTCCTCTTTCTCTCTACTTCATCATCAACTCCCACTACTTCCACTAGGCATTATTCTTCCACTACTCCATTACCTTTCCACTATGCTCTCGATTTTTTTAAAAATAAAATAAAATACCACGTGGCACCTCTACTAATTACCACGTCATCACTGGGACCACCTCCACGTGTCGCTGCCACCTCACATCTACTGCCACGTGTGCACCACGTGTCACCACATAATTCCCTTCTCAAAGTGACTTCTCCATGGCTTGAACTCAGGACCTCCTCCGTGCGCACGTGCGGCTTTACCAGTTGACCTGCAATGAACCTGTTGACTTATTATGTAAAATTAAATATATATTATATTATTTTACACAAACAATTATATATACATATATATTATTAAAACTAAAAATATACTATATGATAATTTTAATCATAACTATTTTAATGAAAAAATAATTTTTAAATATTTTTTTTACTATTTTTATAATGTTTTATTTTTTAAAAAATATTTTTAATATAATTTTAATTTCTAACGACACTAATAAATAATTTTTAAATTTATCTTTTAATTAACATTGATAAGATATACAATTTAATTATATATATTATATTACATTATATTATATTATGTATATGTGGTTTATATATTTGAAGAAAATCATTTACAATTAGTCAAAAAATCTTGTTATTCAAAAAATAACTACTATAATAAAATCTAATAAATTATTCTATATAAAAAATTAAATGATTTAAATAGATTATGATAAACAGTATTTTCCTACTTGTATATATATCATATGTAATTTATTTTCTTAAAATTTGCAACAGAAACAAATTCCGTTGCTAATTTTTGACGGAATTGCGACGGAATTTCCATCGTTAATTTTTTTGATGGATTAGCGACGGAATTGTCTGACAAAAAAAAAATTCCGTCGCTAAATACGGATTAGCGACGGACAGAAATTCCGTTGCTAATCCGTCAAAAAAATTAGCGACGGAATTTGTTTCTGTCGCAAATTCCGTCACTAATCCGTTGTTTTTTTGTAGTGTGAAGAAATACAAAAGTTCTCTTATTCTCTTATCTTCATCTTCCTCTATTCTACTTTTGTGGTTTCATTTTGGATCCATTTCATAACAAGAAAATAATTTTCCTTTTCTTCTCTTAATACCAATTAATGATTTCAAATGAATGTAATAAACATATAAATTAAAATGAATATGTAGTTTAAGAATTTAAATTTAAGCTTGTTTAATAGCAATATACTAAATTGAAAAAACAATACTCGATCGTTAAACTAAATTAAAATTTTATATAAAATTAAAGAACTAGCGCTTACGTCTTGGGCAGGGGAAAGCAAAACCGAAACATATCTGATCACGAAACCAAACCGAAGGCATTTTCAGTTTTTCATTTCGATTATTTCAATGTTCCGTTATTGATTCCGTTAATGAAAAAAATTACAGTTTCAAACTGAAAAACTAAAATTTATAAAAATATATATAATATTTTTTGTCAATATATAATATTATGTATACGTGTATATGTGTGTGTCTATAGATATATAGTTATATGTCTCTACATAGAACATGAAACTAAGTAAGTGGTCCTTAGACGCCCAAGCATATATCTAAACCTAGCCCAATATATCTTAAATCCTAGAAGCTAAGGTGATCCTTAGATGTCCAAGCATATATTGCTGTAATGCTGATACGTTATACAATCGAGGGGCTAAATCGCGAGCGCCTCCAAGTCTGAAAAAAACTATGCAGAAGGATGATGCTGTGATAAGTGAGTTGGTTTAAGCCCTTAGATAAAATTAACGGTCACGATTGGGGAACAGGATTGGAAAGAATAGGAGGGGTTCCGTGCCATGAACATCTAGGTAGCAAAGTGACTTGCTAAAATTGTTCCAAAGTTTATAGGTAGCAAAGTAATCTAACTTTAAAAATTCGCAATTAATTTTATATATTTTCAAATTTATAAATTAGGATTCATTGGAAGATTAAGTGTCTACTTTCAAATACAAAAAGAATCATTGAGAATTATTAAGGTTATGATGTAACTAGCACCCTGAAGTATTTTTTTGGATATGAAATACTCCTCCGGTCCTAATTATAAGACCCAATTGACTTATTTGAGGAGATTAAGGAAGTAAGTTAAATTAGTTATTTATAATAAATAAGTTTTGTCATTCCTAAAATATCCTTGCTAATTAAGTATATTGGCTAAAACTATCATTATTAGAAAGATTATCTTGGAAAAAAATGCATAAATATAAGAGACAAAATGGATTGGGTCTTATAATTAGGACCAAATAAAAAGTCAAATTGGGTCTTATAATAAGGACCGGAGGAGTATTATTTATGATATACAGACGTTTAACTAAATTACATCCCTGGAGTAACAACAAACCTGCTGACTACATGGGACTGAATGTCGTGCATGGATTCCCTGTCATTATACGGCCTCTGGATGATTAGTTAAAGCACTAGATAGATAAGGATTGTACCCTTGCCTCCCTGCTGTTAGTTGAAATTATAAAATGTTTGGAAAATTAATTTTTTAATCAAAACATTAAACAGTAGGGATCTTAGTGTGTGTGTATTTTTGAATCAGTATATATTTTTTAAACTAAATCATCCGATAGTGCATATTTTATTTTGTTGTATTTTTCTTGAAATTAAATTGCTATTACAATCTGTACTTTTTGATATTAATATTCATTTGTTTTTGGCCTAAAAAATCATTTGATAGGGCCCGATACGATGTATTCTTAAGTTTTAGAGGGGAAGAAACTCGGCCATCTTTCACTTCTCATCTCTACTCTTCTTTGAGCAATGCGGGAATTCTTGTCTTCAAAGATGATTCGGACCTTCCTAGGGGAAAAAATATCTCAATGGAATTGCCTCTGGCAATTGGACAATCTACAATTTCAATCATTATCTTCTCCAAAGATTATGCTGGTTCTAGATGGTGCCTCAACGAGCTCTCCAAAATCATGGAGCTTCACAGAGCACAGGGTCAGGTAGTTCTACCTGTGTTTTATGGCGTGGATCCATCCGAAGTTCGTAATCAAAGATCTAGTTTTGGAGAAGCACTTGAAGTTCTTATACAAGGAAGTTCACCCACAGAAGATCAAGTGTCGAGGTGGAGGACAGATCTCCGTGAGGCTGGGAGCATTTCAGGGTTTGTCATGCTCAATTCCAGGTAATTTTTAAATATTTCCTTTTTTTTTCTTTCCAGTTTTTCTAACCCTAAACAGACACACGACATTCTTGCTGCAAAGGTGCACCATTAATCGCTCTTTGTTTTTTTGGCCAGCAAATCACTTGTATTATTGTGCATGAGAAGATTTTATCTAACAAATAACAGCAATACGTTATCAAAGATTAGGTGTTACATTTTCACATATGTATAATCAATATGCTCGGGTGAAGCTCTGACGAGTAACTGAAACTTTTGAATTCAAATATTAAGTGTATTATTATTATTCGTTAGCCAAAAATATGTTTTAATTTTTTTTTTTAAAAGTATAGCAATTTCACAAGCACAAATGTTGTTACGTTTTGTTTTAAATTGTTATTTTGAATTTGGTCAAATTGAGAAGTCTTTTATTCTTATGACACTATAAATTTCTCCGATTATGATACTCTTCCGGTCCTTAATATAGGACCCAATTGGTGAGTTGGTTTTGGTCCTAAATATAAGACCCATTTCTCATATTTATCAATTATCTCTAAATTACTCCTATGGATACCCTTTCAACCATAATCAAGTAGAAGAGAAAGATGAGGTATTAAGAAATATGATTATGGTATTTTAGGAAAAACTTGTCATATTTCTTATAATTAACTAACTTACCTAACTTCCTTAATCTAATCAAATTAGTTAAATGGGTCTTATATTAAGGACCGGAGGAGTATTTTTATAGCCGCTGCTACTTTTTTCTGGTGTTGAAAGTTGCACCTTGAAGTAAGCACTAATATTTAAGTAGCGATTTATTACTAAGGTATTGCAAATCCTATCGTCTATAAAAGCTAGAGATAAACTTTATGTTTTTAATACTTGTAAGATCATTCGCTTTTTGTTTATTCTATGTAATCTGTTGTTTCAACTGCATCCATAGAAAATATAAGGAATCCAATTATATGGCAAATAAAAACTTCATGCCAATTGTTCGAAGGTTCGGACCCCTTTCAATGACAAGAGGTCAAAGTGACAAAAAATAGAGATGTGTTCCCCCCCCCAGAGGGGGGGATGTTAGTATGGCGCTCATCATCTCTCTTCTCATTTTTATCTCTAGTGATTGGAGGGAATCCTTTAATATTGTTGACTTGTGCAAAATGAAAATTTTCTGTGAGTTATGATTATTGCTGAATGGAGCAAATTGCGCTATCTAGTTCCTTAAGTTCAATCATTTGTTTAAATGTTCAGAAGTGCTTCTGTGGATCTGATTGCATGTACTGTTGCGGTCCAATTTTGTCATCTCTATTCTCCTAAATGCGTGGTTTATGAAATATACATTACGTTATTCACCTCAACGTAATCAAGGATTTATATGAACCATCAGTGCTCATTTTCCGTTGTATTTGTTTGTAACGCAGGAATGAAAGTGAGGATATCAAGAATATTGTTGAGCATGTTTGTGAAATATTGGACAAGAAAGACTTGTTCGTTGCTAACCATCCTGTAGGAGTAAACTCTCGCGTGCAAGATTTGATCAAAATGTCAGAAAGCCATCCACCAAATGATGTTCTCCTCCTTGGGATCTGGGGGATGGGTGGTATAGGCAAAACAATAATTGCCAAGGCCATTTACAATGAAATTGGTGGAAATTTTGAGAGCAGAAGTTTTCTTTCAAATATTAGGGAGGTCTGGGAGCAAGATCATGGTCCAGTTTACTTACAACAGCAACTTCTTTCACAAATCTGTAAAACAACAAAGATGATAATACCTTGCATTGAATCAGGAAAACACATACTAAGAGAAAGACTTCGCCAAAAGCAAGCACTTGTAGTGCTCGATGATGTGGATGAGGTGGAACAACTGAATGCTTTATCTGGAAATGGTAAATGGTTTGGTCCAGGAAGTAGAATAATTATCACAACCAGAGATGAACATTTACTAAGATTTCTTAACGTGGATGTGGACCATGTATATAGAGTAAAGAATATGGACAAAAATGAATCTATTGAGCTTTTCAGTTGGCATGCGTTTAGGCAGCCGAGTCCTAGAGAAGGATTTGTTGAACTTTCTAGAAATGTAGTTGCTTATTCTGGAGGACTACCACTAGCTCTTGAAATTCTTGGCTGCTATTTGCTTGATAGGGAAGTGACAGAGTGGAAGAGTGTACTGGACAAACTAAAAAAAATCCCAAATCGTCAGATACAAAAGAAGCTACAAATAAGCTTTGATGGTTTAAATGATGAGAGAGAGAAGGAAATCTTCCTTGACATATCTTGCTTCTTTATTGGAATGGATAGGAATGATGTCACACAGATATTGAATGCCAGTGGATTGTTTGCAGACATTGGAATTAGTGTCCTTGTGGAGAAAAGCCTCGTGACCATTGATGAGAAGAACAAGCTTGGTATGCATGATTTGTTACGAGATATGGGAAGAGAAATAATCCGTGAAAAGTCACCGAAAGAATTTGGAAAGCGTAGTAGGTTATGGTCTCATGAGGATGTGATCGATGTGTTATCAAAACATATAGTAAGAACTTTTCCATGCTATATGTACCATCATGTAAGAAAACGTAGAATGAAACATGAAGTCAAATGAAGATAATGGATTGGGCATATTAACCTTGAAGTTTTGAAACTTCTCATAAGAAATTTGTTAGTAGGCGCATTTATTGTTTATTTTGTCCAAGGCACTAGTTACTCATCTTTAAACCCAATTGTTTTAGTTACTTGTTCTAGAGACTTGCTTGTGACATAGGTTTACATTTTGCTTTTCAGCAAACAAATTAGAAGCAGACACTTGAGTTTTTGTATGCTCTTTATTTGTAGGGTACAGAATCTGTGGAGGGGCTAGCTTTGAATCTGTCACAAGATGGTAAAGTTTATTTTTTAACCAAAGCATTTAAGAAGATGAAGACACTCAGACTGCTTCGTCTTGCTAATGTGGAACTTGATGGAGACTATAGACACATTAGTAGAGATCTCAAATGGCTCTGTTGGCACAAATTTCCTTTCAAATACATCCCTGCCAACTTCCTTCAAAATAATTTAGTCGCTATTGAATTAAAATACAGCAGTCTGAGACTCTGGAGGGAGCCCCAAGTATGTACCAATTTATTACTAGATTTTGTTCTACTAACTTCTATATATATTTTTCATTTCTGAATTTTTCTAGTGGCTTCTAGATGAGTCTTGCTTTGACTATTCTTGGATAGAGCTGTTGAGTTTTCTTCAACATTTACTTTCTTCTATTCTCCTTGCTAGACATTCCACTATCATGATGAATTATGTATGCGCGTAAATTTCTATTGAATTGTTTGGAAGATAGATAATTGTTCTAAAAGAATGATTTTACATGTTGTTTTCATCTATTTTACTTTTTCGAAGATGTTTCTCTAATAGCCTTTTGAATGTTGTTTTCTTGTAGTTATTGGAGAATCTAAAAATCCTCAATCTTAGCCACTCTCCTTACCTGGTGTTTACTCCTGATTTTTCAAAGCTACCAAATCTTGAAAAGTTGATCCTCAAAGATTGTCCAAGTTTGGCCACGATACATAATACAATAGGGCATCTTGGTAAAATTCATCTAATAAATTTGAAGGATTGTACTGGCCTTTGTAGTCTCCCAAGAAGCATTTATGAATTGAAGTGCTTAAAAACTCTCATTCTTTCTGGTTGTTTGATGATAAAAAAGTTAGAGGAAGATATAGAGCAGATGGATTCTTTGTCAACTCTAATTGCAGATAACACAGCAATAACTGAAGTACCCATTTCCTTGGTGAGATCAAAAAGCATTGGCTATATATCTGTTTGTGGTTACCAAGGGCTTGCACGTCATGTGTTTCCGTCCCTCATTTGGTCAAGGATGTCTCCAACGAACAATCCTCTTTCTCTTATTCCGAGATATGCTTGCACGCCATCTTCAATTTTCTTATGTGAAAACAATTGCAGTATCTCATGTCCTTCATCGATTCATGACAACCTTCTAAAGCCCCAAAGCCTTTCATTGGAATGCACATCAGAGAATGAAGCTAAGGTAAATCGAGATGCTACAAAAATCTTGGATTCCTTGTGTGCCATAAGTAGCAGGGACATGGCAAAGACACCAAATACTTCAAAAATCTTGGAGATTGAATCTTCTGTGTTGGCTGATCATCATAGTCAAGTTGACATCTCAAGGCCAAACGAATGTTTGAGACATCTTCTAATTCATATTGGAAACAATGACCAAGTCACTAATGCTCTTTCAGAAAGTATTTTACAGGTTCTCTCCTTCTCTATATACAATTCGCTTTTTATGTAATTTTTTTAGTAAAATTGGAAATGACCATCCAGCTTGTACAATTATATAGTTGAATTAGAGCTTCTGCTTGTGTTATTAAGCAGGGACTAACTGTCAGAGATGATGGTGATGATTGTGTCCTCCCGGGTGACAAATATCCCTATTGGCAATGCTTCAAGGGTGAAGGAGCTTCTGTAAAATTTAAAGTGCCTCTAGTTAGTAGCCATGAGTTAAAAGGGATGACTGTTTGCTGTGAATATCACCCCTCAGGTGATTTGGGAAATGTGGATATTGACTCTTTCATTACCATGGTGATCACAAACTATACAAAGACAACGACACTACTCTATGGGCGAGGCGTAGTGACTTCCTTTGAAGAAGCAAATTGGAAGGAAATAATATCAAATCTGGACTCTAATGAACAAGTGCATATCATTATACTTTTTGGTAATGGGTTCATTGTGAAAAGAACAGCAATTTACTTGAAATATGACGAGTCATTTGATGAACTGATAGAGGATCCACCATCATCAAGTATGATTGGCTCTCTAAAACTATTGTTTTGCACCAGCTTTAAATGTTTGGATTATAATTTAGTTTCAGGAAAAAAGAATATAGTACATTATTGTTAATTGTAATTACCTGATTCTTTAGGTGGATTTAAGCCAGGTTAACATTCTTACCAATTTTCTAATTCATGATGTTTAGTTTTTCATGTTACTTTTCTCTGTTTTTTTAGGTAGAGAATTGCATAGGGATGATAAAAACCATGATTTCAAGCTGTCGGAGGCTAAGCGTCAGAGGTAAGTGGGGCAGCTCTAGAGAATTACCTTGTCCTTTAGGCAGTTCCAAGGTTATCCCTTTTTTCTCGGTTGAAACTTCTGTTTTAGTATTTTGAGAAAAGCGTGCAAAAGACAAAAACCATGATTTTGAAGAGCCTAAGCTTCAGAAAGTGTAATAAGGAGTGCAGGATAGCTGGATAGGACTAGTATTGATATGTTTATCTTTTCTTATTTTTGTCTCTTTTTTAGTCTTTTGTTTTATAACGTTTCTTAGATTATCTATTCTTGAACAAGCTCGTGTTATCTTTGTATTCGATTTTGATAAATTATCTTTATTATTTTTTTAATAAATAACTGGTATTTTTAATCAAAGTTAGTTATATGACTTATATAATGGAAAAACTATAAAATTCAAGCCGTCCATTTTGTGTGCCATTTGTTTTTGTTCTTAGTCTATTTTTCTTGAATCTATTTCATTCGTGCGCATTTACTAGAATTTTTTTATTATTTCAAGCCGTTCCTTGTTTAATATTTATTCAGATATTTGACATGCAATACTGATCTTTTTTTTCAGGCCAAAGAAAATAGTGATCTTTTTTTATTAAAAAAAAATCTAATTTACTGGGGATTAATAATCGTTTTTTACAGGAAAATGAGGCTGCGGTTATGGTTAGGTAACTAAAAACTAAAAAGCAAGTGGCTTCTAGGTCTCCAAGGACCAAAAAAGAAAAATTCAGGAATTGGTAAAATACTAATTTCGGGTAAAAATTAGTATTTAATTATAAGACAGACTATTAAGAAAATCAATTCAAGTTAGTTTTTTTTAATAGTTGATAGGGATATTGTATTAAAAAAATTAATGTTATAAATAAAACATGTTATATTATAAAACATATCAAATGTGCTTATAATTAGAATCGGAAAAAGTCTAATTTTCTAAATAAGAAACAGACACACATGCCTCCCTCTTTAACTATATTTGCTTTGAATCTTTTTTTTTCCAGGAAAGTAATTTATTGATAAAAAAACTAAAGTCCAAAAGGCCAGGTAACAAAATCAAACAAACCATAGGAAACAATCAAAAGAACAAACATAAGCAGGGCAAACTATCCCGGATCTGCAGTCACGTAGCAAGCATCTCGGTCAAGCAATTTTCTCAGTAAAGGGGGCAGTCTCCAAACACAATCAAATGGACATGACCCTTTCAATGTAGCTTTTGCAAGATCAGCAGCCGCATTAGCCTCTCTAGGAATCCAAGTGCAGGCATGGTTCCTAACCAATTTCCTTGATCCTTGGATATTATCAAGGACACCAACACATCTCCAATCAGGTAGCTCTCTTTGATTATTAATGCAATTAATGAGGATCTAATTATCAGAGACTCAAATTGAACACCCTGAAGATTATTTGTCTTAAGAATGGGCCTGTCGAGATTATGGGAATTTTCCTCTGAATGAATCCAACCATTGGTCTCTCAGAACTCTCTAAGAAGTCTACCTGCTTGTTCGAAAGCGAAAAAGGGGATCAGGATTAATATCGTTATAAATGAAAGCATTCCTTCCTTTCCAAATCTGCCATGAGATAGCAACTAGTAAAGCCTTCTGCCTTGGGGATAAATCCATCTCACAGAAACAAGAAGCCGGCCACTTGAGTAGAGCCACATTCAGTGGTATGGAAAGTAAAGGAGCTTCCAAACCAAGTCTTCTTAACCCAGCGGCATTTAAGAAAAAGATGACTCAAAGTTTCTACACTGCTTTTGCAGATTAGACAAACATCAATAGGACTAAAATTCCTTTTAGCAAGATTTTCAAAAGTTGGTAAAGCCTTGGAAATTAATCTCCACAATAAATTTTTAATTTTATAGGGAACCTTAATTCGCCAGACCTCTTGGCAAAATTTCCTATGGTTGTGATTAGATGCAGAAGGAAATGAATCATATCTATGGACAACATTCTGTTTTGCTAATTAGAACCCATCTTTTACTGCATAGCAACTTATAGAACCACTAGTCCCGATCCATTTATCATTACGATGATTATCAGCAACAACCGTATTAAGAATTGCATTTTTTTCTTCATTAGTGATTACTCCTTGTTCTGACTCATATAAGACTTGCTTTGTGTTTTTAATCCCCATTAGCGCGTCCCATTTATATAATTGTATAAAGATGATGCTTTTGTTTTTTTTCACGCCAAAAAAGTTGAAGTTGTCTGACAACTTTTTCAGTCAAGGGCAGTTGAGAAGTTAATTTAAACATAGTCTTCAACAACATAATTTTTTAATGAGCGCGACGGCGTATTGGATGTCGACATCGCAGGACAAGGATACTATAAAAACGAGACAATCAAGGAGTACTATTTTAGTAAAAGAAGTTATACTAAAATTATTATTTATTGAAAGTTTAAATATTAAAATATGTGAACTTAATTAACTCGTGATCCTTAATTTATGATTAATTTTTGCATGCATTGAAGCTATACATGATCTTGAGATAATTTTTCAAACTATTTTTAATTAAAGAAGAAAATTCTAATGGCTGAGGTTACAAACATAATCAAACTTGTAATCTCCTACTTAAAGAGAAATATCCATGTTACTAGATCATAATGTCTTTAGGTATTTTACAAAAGTCAATTTTCTAAGAAAATCGGACTTTGTGTTTTGTAATCCCCATTAACAAGCCCCATTATACAATTGCATAAAGATGTTGCTTATCGTCTCCACCCCGTAGGAATTACGAGATCACCCCAAGGACGCCTTCGGCATCCAGGGGTAGCGACCGACCATAGAACCTTCTTTTTACCCAAACTAAGAGTTAAAGTTGATTGGCAACTGAGTCCAAAAAAAAAAAAGTTGATTGGCAACTTTTTTGTTTTTGGGCCATCGTCTAACATCTCTTTCAATCAACGGCAATTTAAAAGTTAATTTAATTTAATTCCTTTGTATGTACTTTCTAAATTTTTAAGAGATAGTGTTTTTTTTCCCTTCTTGTTTTAGCACTTTATAAACCTTCTTCATTTTAATATATCATTTTTCCTTTTCTCTTTTTCTTTTATAAAAAAAGTTAACTTAAACGTAGTCTTCAACATGATAATTTTATAATGAGCACGATGGTATATTGGATATCTACATTGCAAGACAAGGATACTATAAAAACGAGACAATCAAGGAGTACTACTTTAGTAAAAGAAATCATACTGAAGTTATTATTTATTGATACTTTAAATATTAAAATATGTGAACTTAGTTAATTCATGATCCTTAATTTATGATTAATTTTTGTATGCATTGAAGCTATATATGGGCTTGAGATAATTTTTCAAACTATTTTTAATTAAAGAAGTAAGTAATAATAACAACTAACGTTACAAACATGATACTCCCTCCGTCCCTTATTATAAGAGACAAATAATTAAATTACATTGATAAAAAAACAGTTAAAATTAGTTGAAGATAATTAATGTATAAAAAGTATAATATTTTTTCCAACAATACCCCCATTAATAAGGAGAGAGTATGAGAGAGAACAATTAAATTATTAAAAGAAAGAGAAATGAGAGGGAAAGAGAGTATGAGTTGGAGACAAAAAATAGGGGTAAAATAGGAAATCAATACAAAAAAATAGAGACAACTTTTAAATGTCTCTTATATATAGGAACATACTATAAGTATCAAATGTTTTTTATAATAAAGTGAGGGAGTAGAACTTGTGAGATCCTGCTCAAAAGGAGATATTCATGTCACCAAACCATAATATCTTTAATTATTTTACAAAACTCGAGACTGTCAGTCTGTCAACTTCCTCTCTAAGAAAATCAGACTTTAATGGTGTGCAGCTGATACTTTAGCATATTTTTAATCATCGCGTGCCATTTCGCCTCGCTTTCTGGCTTTCTGTCTCAAATTGTCATTTACCCTTGTCCTTCTTCTCCATTGTCTCCTGTTCCCAACTTGCCAGAACTTTTAAAAAGAAGAAGCTTCCCTTGCCTGCCCGGGTAGCTACCTTTACGAAGCCTTCATCACACCGTCATTACTCGAGTCTCGAGAACATTCTTAAGAGGGGAGATTAAGAAACAACAAAAGCCTCTTATATCTCTTTCTTCTTCCTCCTCTTCTGATCACTGTGATAAATAAGATTAATCTCTCGTCCACCCCCGCTTCGCACACAGGTAACTTCCGCTCTAATCTCCAACCCGGAACGCTTAATTCGCTTTATGTTTTATTTGCTCCTAATCCACTCGTTGATGCATCATTTTTTCATTCGTAGACATGACGCTGTTTAAATTTCAATGGATGCATCTTTGTTCCTCCTTTTATTCTTTCGGGCAAAAGGCAAGATATATAACAACTTATTCTGAAAATCTGATGAAGGAATCGGGGTTTCAGATTTTTATATATCTTAAAAGTGATCCGATCCGGCTGGTTGGACCGTCAGCCGGACTTAACAGCGATTTGTTCTGCTCCTAGGAATCGTTTCTGGGTTGAGCCGGATTAGACCGGTGAGAAGCGACGCTTCAGGCGGAACCCGGGACGGGGTTTTAGTAAACCGGACGGTCTTAGATTTTTCCGTAAAAAAAAAAAAAAGAAATGAAAGAAGAAAGGCATGTTTAGACAGCGATTGGAGAAGAATCGACGAGCAAAATAGCAGAAATGAAACAGAGATAAAATGCTAAACAAAAGGAAAAATCATCTGACATAAGAGAAAAACCATCTGACCTGTGGCTCCACACGATTTAATGCTTTGCTTTGATCTTTTAGGACTTCTTGAAGCTGGAATTCGAAAACTGTTGGTTAGAAGAAGAGGGATTGCACTGCATCTGTTTAGAGGAAGACCCTTGCGTATAGAGGAGAGCCTAGGAAAGGGTATTGGTTCGAAAGAGCTGCTGCTTTGAAATTATGGAAGAAAAGCAAATCAAGAAGCAGCAGTTTAGCAGACATTCAGAAGCCTGAAGACCTTAACATTGGGAAGAGGTGGTTTCATTTTTCAATGGTAGGGCAAATTTTCTACGTGAGTATTTGATATTTAACTTTTATAACTTTAATTATCTCAGTACTCTCTTGGTGTTTATAAGATGAGGAGAAAATTTTTTGAATCTTATTTATAAATCACGTTATTAAATTTTATATAAATATATTTTTCTTTTAACTTATTATTAGGTAATAAACTTTGTTCTCTTTGAGTATGGTATATGTTAAATAAGAATAAAGTTGAGAAGTAATTAATTTTTAAGACAAAGCTAAGGAGATTTAATATTAGTGACTTAGAAGAATATTCCTTCTGATCCTTTTTATAAGACTTTTTTAACTAAATTACGAGGTTTAAAAAAATAGTTAAAAACAATAAATATGTAAAAATTGAATATTTTCTTTCTAATTATTTCCTTATTTAATAAGACAGCAAATAAGAAAGACAAATACTAATAATGAGATCAAAGATAAAAGAGAATGTGGTATAAGAAAAAGATGAGGAGAGAAATAAAAAATTGATTAGGGATAAAATTGGTAAAAATACATTTAATATTCAGACACTCATAAGTAGGATCTTATTAAAAGGATCAAATCCATTTGATGGGATTTTATAAAAAGGGCCGGAGGAATATTATGCACTGAGGTAGGATTAATAAAAAATACACGCACATTATATTATAAATTTAATATGATACTCCTCCTGTCCTTAATATAGGACCTAATTATTGAGTTAGTTTGGTCTTAAATATAAGACTCATTTCTCTTGTTTATCAATTTTTTCTCAATTACCCTTATAGATACTCCCTCACCTATAATCAAGTAAAAAAAGGAGATGATGTATTAAGAAAAATGATTATGGTGTTTTAGGAAAAATGTGTCATATTTTTTTATAATTAACTAACTTACCTAACTTTTTAATCTAATCAAATTAGTTAAATGGGTCTTATATTAAGGACCGAGGAGTATAACATAATTATCGGTTAAAAATTATAAAATAGTACAAAGTAGATAGATACAAGTTTTACAAATATCTATTATCTTATATTCATAAAATAGTTGTTACATTACAATATTGATTATTTGTTTCTGAAAAGAAATCTGGATGTCAGGATGTGACGGACCTTGAGCCACATTCTTCTACTTCACATGGACAGAGACCTGCTAGGAGGCTGAGAGAAGATGAGAATCCGTCTGGATTACCTCTTCCGGTAAATGATGTTTCTGCCAACAATGGAGTTGGAGATGAAAGTAGTATTTCCTACTGCGAAAACCCAGCTTGCAAAGCTGCCCTAAGTGAAGCAGATGTGTTCTGTAAAAGATGCTCATGCTGCATTTGTCATAACTATGATGAAAACAGAGATCCTAGCCTTTGGTTAAACTGTAGCTCTGAGCCTCCATTTGTTGGTGTTTCGTGTGGCTCGTCATGTCATCTTGAGTGTGCTTTAGAGCATGATAATTCTGGCATTGCCGAAGATGGGAGACGTCCCAAGCTTGATGGAAGCTTCTACTGCATCTCATGTGGGAAAGTGAATGATTTGCTCGGGTAATAGTTTATGTTTTACATTTATGTTTTTCAGTTTCTTAGATTCCATCTGGTCACCATTTGAAAATTCGGCTGCTTCTCCTGTTTCTCTTTCAATCCTTGTGGGCAACACTTCTTCACTAAATGTTCCTGAGCAACTCAATTGATATGTATGATGATTTTTTTTTTTTGGCAATATGTTTTCAGGATCTGCCCCGAGACTGTTATGATTTTATGGACTTGATAGATTATGCGTACATAAATTATACAATATGCACCTATATGCGTAAATAAACACATGTTGCAACAAAGTCTTATTTCATTAGGTGGAGTCGGCTATACAAATCACGTAATACTATTATACTTCAGCAACAAACAATTCTTGAGCACTGGATTCCTATTTTCCATCTATTTGTTTTTTTTATTTCTTCAGTTCAAAAATTCTTAAGCATGACTGCAGGTAGAGTTATGGTATTATTTGGTTCACAATACGCTTTCCTATTACTTCATTCTGCGTGAGAAAGCCATCACAGGATGTTCCTAGCCATGCTTAATTTTTGAGCAGATGGGATTAGATGGTACTATCTTTAGATCTTACTATAAAAGCTAGTTAATCAATTTGAGTAAATAAAAGCTAGTTAATCAATTTGAGTAAATTAAGAAAGTTTGTTAAATTAGTTACTTGTAATAAATATCTGTTATCTTTCTTAGAATATCTTTGCTAATCATATATATTAATTAATTAGTACTATCATTTAATAGAACCTTTAATCTGTGTAACTACTATAAGAACTACTTCGAAAAAAAGATAAATATATCGGGATCTTATATTTAGAATCAAATTAAATTTCAAACTAGTTCTTATATTAAGGACATAAGGTAGTATATGTTTTCCAGGACATTGTTTTTGCTCCCTACTGAATTCATCTCTGCCGGTTGTCATCTTTTATATGTTTGCCTGATCTCTGTCTGATCAATAGCACATTAATTGAGTGATGTGGTAGATACCATGCTCTTTCTATGCAACATTATGGATAAGCTTTCATTTCCCAACCTGCTCGCGCTTACTGATTGTATATATATACAGATGTGATCTAAGATAAACTTCGATAATCTGGTTTGGTATCCTCATTAAATTTTTTACTCAGATCAGTGAAATTTGTCGTGCATTAGTTGAGGGTGTCTGAATCCATGGAAACTTCTGGAGGCCCCCGCCCCGGGGGGGGGTGTTGTGGAGGGTTTGGGGCATATCTATTTTGCAAACTGAAGTTAAGCTAAAAATCAATTAATTAATAATGTGATTTATATCTGAATACGCTTTTATAAAAAAGTAAAAGTTATTAAAAAGAAGCCAGAAGCAAGAAAAACCAGATTGCGCCTCAGTTAGCTATAATTTAATCTAACTTTTTCCAAATTAGTGTAATGTAATTTAACTTTAGGCTCAAAAGCTGTTTTATGCCAAACATCATTTTGGGTACAACAAGTCAGTTTTAAAAGCCATCCCAAACAATATGAGCTTGTTTTTAAAATATATCGTGATTGTCCACTTGATGGTAAGACTGTTCTTAAAACATATGGGATATCTGTTATGGTTTTTTTGGATGAAATATTCCTAAATGTCTAGTATAAGATCAATCTAAGCTTGGTTTTGTTTATAAAATGCATTTAGGTGCTGGAGAAAGCAGCTGATTATTGCAAAGGGTACTAGGCGCGTCGACGTGCTTTGCCATTGTGTTTCCTTGTGCCAAAGAATGTTACAAGGGACTGAAAAGTATACAGAACTTCATGAAAATGTTAATGAGGCAGTGACGAAACTTGAGCCTGAATTAGGCCCACTAGCTCATTCACCAGTGAAGATTGGTAGGGGCATTGTGCACAGACTTTCTTCAGGGCCAGAGGTTCAGAAACCCTGTGGTGCGGCTTCTTCTATGCCTGCGCGAAGGTAGTGCCTGCTTTCATTTTTTTTTTTCCCAGGGTAAATAAATATCTAAAGTTGTCCCTCTTCCTTTAATTTTTATTTGAAGAAAATATCTTTTTAAGGAAAAAATTATTTCAAGATCCAAATTTTGAAGTTTATTCTTGCTAAGAACCTTTAATAATAATACTTTTATCTATAAATTGTGGTGTTTAATTGATAAATAGCGAAATATTGTTTGATTTTTAAATCTGCATTTATTTTAATATAAAATTCGTACTTCTGCAAATAAATTTATTCGGTAAATAGTGAAATTAGGATTATTAAAAATAAATAATTCTTAAATTTGATCTAGGTAATTTTATTACCTTTTTCCATTAGTTAGGAAAATACCGAGGCCTATTTTTTTTATCCGCTATATCATATTTTTTAATCATACATGACTATATGTTATTATTTTTTTATAGATTTATAATTAAATAATAATATTTCAAAAATAATACACATGACATGTATGATTGGAGAACATGATAAAATAGATGTAAAGAACTTGATGTAGGTATTCTCATGTCCATTATATTTTGCATTAAAGTATTTATTAATATCAACTAATGATTTAAAATGAATGTAATAAACAGATCAATGAATATAGAGTTTTAAAATTTATAACTATTTAATAACAATAGGATAAATTAAAAAAACAATACTATTGACATTTTATAATTTTGACTTTCACCATACTAACTACCATTTACAATATTTTTTGTTGTTGTATTTTTCTTGAAATTCAAATCTTTACTTCTTGTTATCTAATCTTCATCCGATTTTGGCCCTCCAAAAAGCAATTGATAGGGGCCGGTATGATGTGTTCTTGGACCTCAGGGGAAGACGCTCGGGCGTCTTTCACTTCTCACCTCCACTCCTCTTTAAGCAATGCTGGCATTCTTGTTTTCAAAGATGACTTAGACCTTCCTAAGGCGAATAGTATCTCAACGGAATTGTCCCTTGGAATTGAACTTTCTACAATTTCAATCATTATTTTCTCTAAAGATTATGCTGGTTCTAGATGGTGCCTCAGTGAGCTCTCAAAAATCATGGAGCTTCACCGAGCACAGGGTCGGGAGTTCTGCCTGTGTTTTATGGCGTGGATCCTTCCCAAGTTCGTAAGCAAATCTCTAGTTTTGGAGAAGCGTTTCGAGATCTTATACAAAGAAGTTCACCCACAGAAGATGAAGTGTTGAGGTGGAGGACAGATCTCCGTGAAGCTGGGGGCACTGCGGGGTTTGTTGTGCTCAAGTCCAGGTAATACTTTTAAGTACTTTTTTTTTTTTTTTTATTTCTTTTCGATTTGGCAAAAGCCTAAACAAGCATACGCTACCCGTTCTTGCTGCCATGTGCACCTTTCGAAGAAAAGTCTGACAAATAACAATAATACCCTACGAATGAGTAAGTTTGATCTTCTTACATCAAACAGAGTCAATACAGTTTTGCGGCCACTTTTTTCTCTTTTGGGTTAAAACTTGCACCTTGGAGTAAGGACTAATATTTAAGCAGCGATTAAGGTATTGCAAATCCCTTCGTCTATAAAAGCGAGTGATAAATTCATTATGTTTTAATACTTGTATGATCATTCGCTTTTGATTTGTTCTCTGTAATGTTATGTGACTATTGCATCCGTCAAAGATACAAGGAATCCAATTTTATACCAGATAAAAACTTCATGTCAACAAGATTCGGACACCTTTGAGTGACGAGAGGTGAAAGTGACAAAATAGGAGAGGTGGTTGGGGCTCACATGTTAGTGTATGGTTCGTCATCCTCTCTCTCTTCTCACCTTTGTCTCCAGTGATTGGAAAATGAAAACTTTCTCCTAGTTATGATTGTTGCTGAATAAAGCAAATTGCACCATCTGGTTCCTTAAGTTTTGTTTGAATGTTCACAAGTGCTTCCGCAGACCTGATTGAATGTTCTGTTGTGGCCTAATTTTTCATCTATGTTCTGCTAAATGCTCGGTCCTTCAAATATGCTCCCTTCAGTCGTTTTTATAATATCAAAATTTTTGAATTGGCCTGATCCTTTTTATAAGATCCAATTTGGGGTTGCCTGGACATTAAATGTATTTTTCAGTTTTTGACCAGTTTTATTCCTTATTAATTGCATTAGTTTTTTCCCATACATTCTCTTTCATCTTCTTTCTCACCATTTCTCGCCCTCACTTAACCTTTTATAAATAAGGTCATATTTGGAGAAAAGAAAAGCATGTTTCTCACATATTTATTATTTTTAACTAATGTTAACAGATTTATTAAATCATGCAATTCGGTTAATTGGATCCTATTAAAAGGACCGGAGGTGGTATGTCATATTATTCACCCTAAAGCTATTAAGGATTTATATGAATCAGTGCTCATTTTCTGTTATATTTGTTTGTAATGCAGGAATGAAAGTGAGGATATCAAGAATATCATGTTTGTGAAATATTGGACAAGAAAGACTTATTTATTGCCAACCATCTCGTAGGATTGAATTCTCGAATGCAAAATTTGATTAAAATGTCACAAGGCCATCCACCAAATGATGCTCTCCTGCTAGGGATATGGGGGATGGGTGGTATAGGAAAAACAGTAATTGCCAAAGCCATTTACAATGAAATTGGTCAAAATTTTGAGAGCAGAAGTTTTCTTTCAAATATTAGGGAAGCTTGGGAGCAAGATCGTGGTCCAGTTTACTTACAACAGCAACTTCTATCACAAATCTGTAAAACAACAAAGATGATAATACCTTGCATTGAATCAGGAAAACACATATTAAGAGAAAGACTTTGCCAAAAGCAGGCTGTTGTTGTGCTAGATGATGTGGATAAGGTGGAGCAACTAAATGCTTTATCTGGAATTGTTAAATGGTTTGGTCCAGGAAGTAGAGTAATTATCACGACTAGAGATGAGCATATACTAAGATTCCTTAACGTGGATATGAACTGTGTATATAGAGTAAAGAACATGGAGAGAAGTGAATCTATTGAGCTTTTCAGCTGGCATGCGTTTAGGCAACCAAGCCCTAAAGAAGGGTTTGTTGAACTTTCTAGAAATATAGTTGCTTATTCTGGAGGACTGCCACTTGCTCTTGAAATTCTTGGCTGCTATTTGTTTGACAGGGAAGTGACAGAGTGGAAGAGTATACTGGAAAAACTGAAAAAAAATCCCCAATGGTCAGATACAAAAGAAGCTAAAAATAAGCTTTGATGGTTTAAATGATGATATAGAGAGGGAAATCTTCCTTGATATATCTTGCTTCTTTATTGGAATGGATAGGAATGATGTCACACAGATATTGAATGCCAGTGGATTTTTTGTGGACATTGGAATCAGTGTCCTTGTGGAGAGAAGCCTCGTGACTATTGATGAGAAGAACAAGCTCGGTATGCATGATTTGTTGCGAGACATGGGAAGAGAAATAATCCGTGAAAGGTCACCAAAAGAATTTGGAAAGCGCAGTAGGTTATGGTTTCCAGAAGATGTGATCAATGTATTATCAAAACATACGGTAAGAATTTTTCAATGCTATATGTGTCATCCTGTAAGAAAAAGTAGAATGAAACAGGAAGTCAAATGCAGATAATGTATTGGGCATATAAACCTCATAGGTTCTAGACTTATCAGGAGAAATTTATTATTAGGCATATTTGTAGTCTGTTTTCTCCCGGGCACTAATTACTCATTTTAAAATCCAGTTGTTTTAGTTACTTATTCTAGAGACATGCTTGTGACATAGGTTTACATTTTTCTTTTCAGCCAAAAAAAAAGAAAGAGAAGCACACAAATAAATTTTTACATGCTCTTTGCTCGTGGGGTACAAAATCAGTTGAGGGGCTAGCTTTGAATCTATCTCGAGGTGATAAAGTTTATTTTTTAACCAAAGCATTTAAGAAGATGAGGACACTTAGACTGCTTCGTCTTGGTAATGTGGAACTTGATGGGGACTATAGATACATCAGTAGAGATCTGAAATGGCTCTCTTGGCACAAGTTTCCTTTGAAATGCAACCCTGCCAACTTCTTTCAGAATAATTTGGTCGCCGTTGAATTAACATTTAGTAGCTTGAGATTTTGGAGGGAACCCCAGGTATCTACCGAAGTTATTGTTAGTTTTTGTTTTACTTCATAACTTCTAGATGCTCTTCATTTCTGATTTTTTTCTAGCAGCTTCTAGATGAGTCTTGCTTTGACACTATTCTTGGATGGAGTTGCTTAGTTTTCTTCAACATTTACTCTCTTCTATTTTTGATAGGACTCCAAGTCAGCACATTAACGCACCAGAGAAGAAATAGGGAGACTGGAGTAGTGGTTGAGTCTGTTTGCATCTTTTTAGGAGAGTTGAATGCGTCTTTTAGGTTTTATTGATTTTATTAATGATTTATTAATTGAATAAGGGGACTTTAGGTTGTTAGAGGTCCACCAACGTCTCTTTCTGTTAGTTCCAAGATATTAGGGATATTTACTTAATTCTTATATTTATTCAATTGTAATTTCTGCATTATAAATATGTTAGCCATCCTATAAGCTAACATATGAGAGAAATAAATATTTGTTCAGTAATTTGGAGATTCTCCTTCTGGCTACTAAATCTAGTTAAGTGAGATCCTTGCTTAAGTAAATTTTAGTAGATTTTATCCCGGCTATTAGTGAGTTGAGAGTGAGATTCTTGCCTCAACCCTCTACTAGATTATATTTCGTTTTTTTTTATTCACTTAATTATCTAGCCATTCGGGTTCTACCAATTTTCCTTGCTATAGATCTGAACATTCCACCATCATGATAAATTATGTGCGGGCACAAATTTCAATTGAATTGTTTGGAAGATATGTAACTGTGTTAATGATTTTACATATTGTTTTCATCTACTTTACTTTTTTTTTTCCCCCCCAGGATGTTTCTCTAATACCCTATTGAATGCTGTTTTCTTGTAGTTATTGGAGAATCTGAAAATCCTCAATCTCAGCCACTCTCCTTACTTGGTGTGTACTCCTAATTTTTCAAAATTACCAAGTCCTGAAAAGTTGATCCTCAAAGATTGTCCAAGTTTGTCCATGATACATCATACGATAGGGCATCTGGATAGAATTCATCTGCGAAATTTGAAGGATTGTACTGGCCTTCGTAGTCTCCCAAGAAGCATTTATAAATTGAAGAGCTTAAAAACTCTAATTCTTTCTGGTTGTTTGATGATTGAAAAGGTAGAGGAAGACATAGAGCAGATGGATTCTTTGTCACCTTTAATTGCAGATAACACAGCAATAACTCAAGTGCCCATTTCTTTGGTGAGATCAAAAAGCATTGGATATATATCTATTTGTGGTTACTAAGGACTTGCACGTCATGTGTTTCCTTCTTTGATTTGGTCAAGGACATCTCCAACAAATAATCCCCTTTCTCTTATTCCAACATATTCTAGCTTGCCATCTTCAATTTCCTCGTCTATAGAAAGTTGCAGTACCCCTAGTCCATCATCGATTTATGAAAACCTACCAAAGCCACAAAGCCTTTTATTGGAATGTGCATTAGAGAATGGCGATGAGGTAAATCAAGGTGCTGCAAAAATGTTGGATTCCTTGTATGCCACAAGTAGTAGTGACATGGCAAAGACACCAAATACAAAAATCTTGGAGATTGAATCTTCCATGTTGGCTGATCATCATAGTCAAGTTGGCATTTTAAGGCCACACGAATATTTGAGACACCTTCTAATTTACATTGGAAACAATGACCAAGTCACTAATGTTCTTTCAGAGTGTATTTTACAGGTTCTCTCCTTGTCTATATATAATTCTTCTTTTTAATTTTTAAACAAGTCCTTACTCATTGTGTAATTGTTTTAAAAAAATTGAAAATGACCACTCAGCTTGTACAATTATATAGTTGAATTAGAGCTTCTGCTTGTGTTATTAAGTAGGGACTGACTATCAGAGATTGTGGTGATGAATGTGTCCTTCCGGGTGACAAATATCTCTATTGGCAATGCTTCAAGGATGAAGGAGCTTCTGTAAAATTTAAAGTGCCTCTAGTTAGTAGCTGTGAGTTAAAAGGGATGACTCTTTGGTGTGAATATCACCCCTCAACTGATTTGGGCAACGTGGAGGTTGACTCTTTCATTAGCATATTGATCATGAATTATACAAAGATGACCACTCTGCACTATAGGTAAGACAAAGTGGCTTCCTTTGAAGAAGAAAAATGGAAGGAAATAATATCAAATCTAGACTCTGATGACCAAGTAGAGATCATTGCTGGTTTTGGTCATGAAGTCACTGTGAAAAGAACAATAGTGTACTTGAAATATCACAAGTCATTTGATGAACAGATGGAGGATCCACCATCATCAAGTATTATTTTCTCTCTAACACTGTTATTTTGTACTAGCTCTAAAAGTTTGGATTATAGTTTAGTTTCAAGAAAAAAGAATCTAGTAGATTATTGTTAATCATAATTACCTTATTCTTTAGGGGGGTTTAAGGTTAACATTTTTACTTATTTCATGATTCATGATGTTTAATTTTTTGCATAATTTTTCTCTGTTTTTGTAGGTAAAGAAATGCATAGAGATGACAAAAACTGTGATTTCGAGCTCTCAAAAGCCCAAGTGTCAGAAAAGAGAATAAGTGGTGCAGCTCTAAAAGTCAGTGAAGTGGTGCGTGTGGGACAAGCAATGATTAAATTTAAATTTTCGTTTTAGCAATTATTATTATATTATCTAGACAAAGAAAACTCGTATTGTCTTGGTAGTTCATTTTGATAAATTGCCTTCAATGCCTTTTATCGTATGGTTTGTGTATACATCTAAATCTTAATTATTCGTTCATATAACTTACGTGGTAGATAAACTGTAGCCCCTCAAACTTTCAATAACATCTGCACTTTATCTTAAATTCTCAGTTTGTTTTCATGAATTTAGTTAAATCATGAGCTAATTCCAAATATTAATCAGACTTTGAAATAAGAATGCAATTGAATATTTCTCAAAGCTTGGGACATTGTTGCTTCCTTTCTATTCTATAGACTATAGACTCGGGCTTTTTTCATATAAAGTCGGTAACTAGGGTTCTAATATTCTCCATATAAACTAGGCAGGATATTAGAGTCATTCAAAACATAATGTTTATTATTGCACATCTAAAATTCCAAAACATCCATTAAGTCACTCGATATAAGGTGAATTATCATGTGCACACCAAGGAAATCAGTGTATTAGCACAATTCAGTAATTCCATCTTGTGATACTTGTTTCAGATCGTCAAGTTCGAATGAGCTTGCAACATCACGCTAATTTACTGTTAACTATCTTGTTATAATAGTAGTACTCTTCAGGTATTTAATGTAAGACATATTTATTGAGTTGATTTTGATTTTAAATATATGATATAGTACTCATATTTATCAGTTTTTTTAAAATTATTCTTATTGATACTCCCTCAATCATGATTAAATAGAAAAGGGAGGTAGGACATTAAGGAAGATGGTCATAGTACTTTAGGAAAACATGTTATATTTTTTATAATTAACTAACTTACCTAACTTTCTTAATTTAATCAGATTAGTTAAATAAGTCTTACATTAAGAATTAAGAATTGAAGAAGTAATATTTAGTTACTAGCAGCTGTTACTTGCTTTTTCAGAGTGTATTTTACAGGTCTTCTTCATCTCTATGTATAATCCCCTTTTTTTCCAAACTAGTCCTTGCCCATTATTGTAATTGTTTTAATAAAATTGAAATGATAGTTCGGCTTTGAATTAGAGCTAATGCTTGTGTTATTAAACTGGGATTGACCCTCAGAGATTATCGTGATAATTGTGTCCTCCCAGGTGACAAATATCCCTATTGGCAATGCTTTAAGGGTGAATGAGCTTCTGTAGAATTTAAAGTGCCTCTAATTAGTGGGATTAGTCTCTGCTGTGAATATTACCCCTCAGGTGATTTGGTCAATTTGGAGGTTGACTCTTTTATTGGCATGTTGATTATAAATTATACAAACAAGATCACTCTGCACTATAGGAGAGATACAACGACTTCCTTTGAAAGAGCAAAATGGAAGGAAATAACATCAAATCTAGACTTTGATGATCAAGTAGAGACCACTACAGTTTTTGGTAATAGATTCACTGTGAAAAGAACAGCAATGTACTTAAAATACCACATGTCATTTGATGAACAGATGGAGGATCCACCATCATCAAGTATAGTTAGCTCTCTAAAACTGTTGTTTTGCACCAGCTTTAAAAGTTTGGATTGGAGTTTTAGTTTCAGGAAAAAAGAATCTAGTATATTATTGTTAATTGTAATTTACCTTATTCTTTAGGTAGGTTTAAGCCAAGTTAACATTGACTTATCTCCTAATTCATTATGTTTAGTTTTTCACTTAATTTTTCTTTGTTTTTGTAGGCAGAGAATTACGCAGGGATGACAAAAACCATAATTACAAGCCTTGGAGCCTAAGCGTCAGAAAATAGAATAAGTGGGGCAGCTCTAAAGTCCGGTGAAGTGGTACGTGACAGGATTGCTTCCTTTCCATTCATTAAACAAAGGATGTCTCTCTGGCAATTCATACTTGGGCTTTCTTCATGTATAGTTTGTAACTAGAGTTCTAATATTCTCTGAGTTCAAATCATCATTTGATTATATGAATAAAAGCTTGTTTGGTTCATCTTCTGCGCCCTATAGAAATGGTAATTCAGATCCTATTGCTAGCGTATGTATTTGGTTTGCATTTCTCTGTTTTTCTTGGTAAAGAGGATTACCATAATAACATTGATTGCTGATTTTTTGTGGAATCAGCATTCATAGAGGACTAATGAATGATATATTGATTGCAGAAACATCCTTATGGGCAATGTTTCAAGAATAATGGAGCTTCCCCAAAACTATTTTATTTTGCACCAGTTTTAAGAGTTATATTTGATTAAAGTTTTAACTTCAGGGGGGAGTTCATTGATTTTAAATTAAGGGTTAAGATCCATTTTTTGTTAGTGAGATGAAGAAAAAATAAACTAGGCAGGATACTAGAGTCATTCAAAACATAATGTTTATTATTTCACATATAAAATTCCAAAACGTGCATCCATTAAGTCACTTAATAGAGATATAAGGTGAGTTATCATGTGCACGCTGAGGAAATTAATGTAATAGCACGATTCAGTAACTCTATCTCATGTGTACACACTAATTTACTGGTAACTATCTTACTATAATAGTAGTAATATTTAGTTACTAGTTGTTCATGAGAACCAGTTGATGCTGAATTTTATGTGAGAAATAGAATCTGCTTGGTCCAGTTTCAAATTTTCCACTACCTTGGTTTGATAAATTATGAAAAGGATGTTGCAATCAAAAGGCCTCCTTGTAAATGCTTGAAGAAGAGACCTTGCCTTATTTGTTGCTCCCTGATGCAAGAAGACATGCCAACCATACAGGATCACATTTGCGCTTAACACAATAATCACAATCAAGAAGTATAATATTACTACAACTTACCTACTGTTACAAATACTTGATCTCTATCATCACAAATGGTCCAACAACATAATCAAGAATCTCGATTCCTAATTTCAGAACATAATAAATCAAACATACTGTCAATTCAACATGCGAGAATTCATTCAAGGCTAGGAAAGCAGCAAGAATAGAGGCTTACTGAAGTCTTGTTCATTCTTCCTCCCAAAATCACACCTCCTAGAAACGAAGACTGGGCTTTTCTAGCAAATTCCCCTATGTTGGGCCAAGAACCAGAAGGCTCATTAAATTCATAGTCATAGAAATGCAGAAAAGATAAGGAAAACAGTAAATTTACCATACAATTGTCTACACACTCCAGCTCTAAAGATTCTTTATACCTAACATTTTCGGACATCACCAAATCAAATTCTTTTTTTTTTTTAGGTTCAGATGAAATTTTACAAGTATAGCAACTTCTTCTTCACATACCTTAACCAAAAGTCCAAAAGCCATACTTAAAGTAGAGATTCAAATTCAACAATTGCCCTCTGTCTTTTCCATGGGCATTCTGCAAAGAGAATTAAAGTGGATATGAGGGAAAAGTAAGACGATCTAGTTTAATTTAGGTGTGTGGATAAGCATTTAAGTTGATGGGCCAGGGATTTAGATCAATGGGGCAAGGCTATGGGTCACTTAAACAAGGTCCAATAACTTTAACAACTATTTACAGAAAAGTGGGCACCATTATAATCATCATGAACAGTATAATACAGATTAATTATTGCATTTACAAAAAGAATGAGTGAGAAGGAAAATTACCATATCAAGCATGGA